CGGCCGCCCAGCGAACCGGATTGCCAAGGCGCGCTCTCTTGCCTTCACGACACCGATCGACACAGACCGCCGCCGTCCGTACACGATCCCGTGAAATCGATACATCAACAAAAATTGTGTTATTAACTTGAATGTTCCTTTTTGACTCTTGTCTTCGATAACAATAAAGGTCATAACCACATCAGTGCACCGTTCGTTGTTTTGCATTTGTTTTTTTTTTTTATTACGTTCGTTGTTCCGACCTGAGTTTTGGTCACCATCACCACACCGTCCACGCGGCATCACACAAGGCTGCGTCAATTCATTACATCAAAATCATTCAGATTATCAATCCATTTGAAATCTCCAGTAGGTAAATATTTACTCATTGCCCAACCATAAAGATTATTTGCATCTAAGTATTCTAAAAATATTGATTCATCCTTTTTTTAAATTTATCTCCCATGTATTTATTATTTGCTTTTGAATATCTTGACTAAATTGTGATAATCCACCTCTGATTCCAGAGTCAAACATCAATAATTGATCGACATCTGTTAATAAATCTAATTTTACATTTGTCATTCTTAACATACAATCCCATGCAAATCCTGGTGTTGTGTAATACCACATAGGATCTAATTTATAATTTTTTAAAGAAATATCTCTAAAATTTTCTATTATATATGTTAATAATAAAACATCGATCTTATTATATAAACTAGTGAATTCACGCATATTTTGTATATTAAACACTTTCCAAATTTTTTGTGAGTTTTCATATTCCTCTTTAGTATATTTTATCTGTGAGAGAACTATAAAATTTTTCAATAGGAGGTAAACATGTTTCATTAAATTTTTCTTCACAATCCATATACTCATAGGGATATGCTAACTTTCTAGTAACTAAATCTAAAAGTTCTTCATGAAAATATTTACCAAGTTCTTTAAATTTATTTTTTAAATGTAATTTCGAATCATTTCTTAAATTATTTGTTAACTTTTCTAAAGAACTAGGTAAAAAATTGAATGAATCAATAAATCTTAATTCTGTACATATTTTTATGTTTTACCTTTCCTAGTTACTACACGTGACATCATTTTTGAAAAAGAAATATATTTTCCTCATTATTGCGAGCAATTTTATTCTTTCATTATCGTGTCCAAATTCTTTTATAAATAGATGAGCATCATAATCTGGAAGATTATGAAAAGCAATTGGAATAAAACGTGGATTTTGGTAGTTAAGATTACAGATAGAATGTGCTGCTCCTCTATATTCTCCAGTTAAATGGTCATGATCCTGAACTTTTCGCATATTTTTATTTTTATTTTCTAATTCTTTTTTAAGTTTATCTTCATACAATTTTAATTTTTTTTTATAATATTTAATAGGGTCTTTATTTTTTTTAAGTTTATCCTCATACAATTTTAATTTTTTAACATCATTAGTCTTTTTATAATATTTAATAGAGTCATTAATTATTTTAAGTTTATTTTCAAATATTAATTTTTTTAACATCAGTATTTTTATAATATTTAATATTATCTTTAATTATTTTATGTTCATCTTCATACAATTTAAATTTTTAAGATCATCAGTATTTTTATAATATTCAATATTGTCTTTAATTATTTTAAGTTCATCTTCATACAATTTAAAATTTTTAACATCAGTATTTTTATAATATTCAATAGTGTCTTTATAATATTCAATAGTGTCTTTACTTATTTTAATTTTTTACTCTAACATTGGAGGTAAATCTGATAAATATCTTTCACAAATATGACATTTATCAGATTTATAATAATAATTATTTAATTGTTCTACATTCAATGTTTTCATAGGAACTATTTTATCATATATTTTAGAAATAAGTATTTCTTCATTTTTCATACATTCATAAAATTCTTGAGCTACGTTTGGACCAGAATATGTTACAGGAGGTTTATAATCACCATTACTATATTTAATATAATAACAAAAATTATTAGGTATATGTTTCTGATAACATTTTGTAAAAGACTCTGTATCATTTGGTTGACAAGTATATATTGGTTTAAGAGTACATTCATAGTCAGCAAAAACCACAAAAGGTACTCTTAAGGAATGATTATAATTTTGAAATTCTAAAGTTTTATTATAGAGTTCTGGTAGAACTATTTTAGCAGCTTTATTATTAGCACAATAATGTTTATGATCATTTAACTTATCTTCTTCATCAAAACTATTTAAACACATTTTACATAAAAATCTTTTATGACCATTTTTGTAACTTGTCTTCCTATTACTTTCCATAAATCTTTAATCCAACAATAATGTCCTTTATTCACATTATTATCCTCTGTTAAATATAATAAATCTATATGATTAGTTTTTTTCGATTTTAATTATTTCACCTAAAGGTGCAATTACATTTTTATCTAAATAATAAATATTAATAGAAATATCTTTTGTTCTTTTAACAAATTTCGGAACGTCTGTGATTTTTACCGGAAATTCAATATCTTTAAATTCTTTATCAAATTCATTTTTAAAGCGAATATATTTAGTTACTCTTTGATCATCTTTTTCAACAGAATGTAAAGCAGAGAGTATTGCCCAAAGAAAACATTTATCATCTTCATTTTTAACATTTATAATACCCTTTTTATTACTAATATGTTTAGGTAATGGAATATATGAAGAACCCTTAAAAGGAACATATTTATTTATATTTATTCCCAAACTTAAAATTTGATGAAGTCTCCATTGTGAATTTTTCATTACAAAATCTTCTATTTCACTTACAATTTTAATTTTTGCATTTGTATAAAATTCATTTAAGTTAGAAATTTGTGTTAAAATTTCATTTTGTGTCTTAAAATTACATTCTTTATATTCCATATTTTCTTCATTAGTACCTCTCTTATATATAGCAAGAAACATAATATTAATTTTTAAATTTCTCTTCTTTAATTCGTGTTTAACTCGTCCTATTACTGGATTATCTAAACGATTTAAAAACACTTGTACATCTTTAATACCCATATTATTTTTAATAATATAAGTTTTTAATCTACTTTGAAATGCTGTTTCTTCATTTTTTAAAATAGGTCGAATAGTGTTGTTTTTTTCAAAAATTTCTTCACTAAAATTGAAAACTCTATGTGGTTTGGGTATTGTCTCTCTTGATATTCTTGGTCTTATACCATTGTTTTGATGTCGAATAGATTGCACATGTTTAGACCAACTGTTGTATTTAACTGTCTATTTTTGGTATTCTCTCTTGTCTTGTTCTTACATTTGTTGTTGTTGTACCTCTGTATGTTCGTCTAAATCGAGGTATAATTGTTTGATCTGGATCATTGTTTTGATGACGAATAGATTTAAAATGTCTAGACCAATTTTTGTAACTAACTGTTAAGTTACATTTATCACAAGTTTTGCTATCCATTTTATTATTGTTAAAATTCTTTTTAACTAAAGGTTCAATTTTATTTATTCCTTCCATTTATTGTAGAGAATATTATTTTTTTTTTACATTCAATTTTTTAATAAAAATAATTTTTATTAAAAATAATATTTAAATAATATTAAGATCCCATACTAAATTCACACATTTTAATATTTCCTAAATCTTGAACAATCTCAATATTGTCTAGATAATAGTGATGATAATCACCTGTTGCAATAATTAAATCATTAGCTATTTTACAAAGTTCTAACCAAATTGGTGAATGTAATAGTTTAGAAATATAAGGCTTTCCATTTCCAAAACCAACATCTCCTTGACTAATAATGAAAATATTTCCTTCAATTGGAATTTTATTTAGATTATATTTAATACTCTCAGAATTTTCATAGTATTCAAAAGCACAAAATTTCGTATAACAGTTATTTTTTGTATACTTTTTTTTATTTCATTTCGCATTAATTTCAAAAAATTAAAATTTTTTAGTCTATAATGATTAATTGGTACACCATTATATTTTGTATTAACTCTACAAGGTAAAATTGTTTGATCTATATCATTTTTTTGATGATGAATAGATTTTAAATGAGAAGCCCAATTTTGGAAACAAATTGTTAAATTACATTTATCACAGTTTAGCAGGGTATATGTTTTTAGTGATAATACATCCATTTTATTAGTAATATCAATTTCTTAACTAAAGATTCAATTTTATTTAATCCTTCCATTCTTTATTATAGAAAATATTATTATTTTTTTACATTCAATTTTTAATAAAAATAATTTTTATTTAAAATTCTATTTAAATAATATTAAAGATTTTAGGTTATAGTGAAAATATAAAAAACTTTTAAAAAATGTATAAAAAATAATATTCCGGATAAATAGAAGGAGATTTATATAGATATCACTTCCTTTAACTTAGGACATATTATTAAAATATTGTATTTTGTAACTCTTGGTTATATTTACAGAACTTAACAAAGATTTCATTACTTAATATTGATTTTTCTATTTCGTTTTGCATTTCATTTTCTTGTACCTTATTACAATTTTTTATAGTTTCCATTCTTTTATTATAAATATCATTCCTTTAACTAAGGTATTCAATTTCTTTAAAAAAATATTTTTTTAATACACTATATTGCATTTCGATTTTAATTATTAATATCATAAGTATTATGAAAAATATTTTGGGGGGTTTTTGAATGTAATAAGTTTTGTGAAAAATGTTTTTATTATTATTGAATTTCATATAGTTTTGCGAAAATGTTTTTAATTATTATTGCATTTCATAAGTTTTGCGAAAAATGTTTTTATTTTTATTGCATTTCAATTTTCTGATCTTTTTGCACATTGTTTTCTTTGTGATCTTTTACTGATATATTATGAGGTGCGCCAGAATTGGCATACATATACTACTAGTAGGTATATGCCTAGGTTATATGTTGGCCCATAGAATTCTTAATAGAGTTCTTAAACATTTATAAGTCCTTTTCCTGCCTTTGGAAAAGTAAATCAAAAGATTATAGCAACAAACATCTACGCAATGATGCATACGATGAGATGGTTAATTTTTTCAAGCATAGTTTTCCAGAAGCCAATAGGCAATTTGTTGTCAAAAAAATACAAAGCTTACGTGGATCATTCAGGTAAAGCACCTTTATTTTTTATTACATATTTTCTAATACATACCTATTAAATTACTTTTAAATTTTAATTTAAAAAAAAAACTGGGGAGTAGTGGGACTCACTCTGCTGTTTAGTAAATTAGTAGTCGAGTGACTCGAGTTTATTTACATATAATAGTAGGGCAGTGTTCAGCAATCGGCTGTGTGATTTTAGTATAACCACGATGGTCGAAGACCGATACCTCGGATAATATGTCTGTTTGTGATATAGCGATTATATGTTTTTAATAATTAATAACACTTAAAATTTAAATATTTTATTTCATTAAATATAATTTTGGTTTAGAAAAGAAATGAAAAAAGTGATGGAAAGGCAACGTAGTGGTTCTTATAAGGATGATATTTATGTACCTTCACTGTGGTATTATGATTTATTATTATTCACTAAAGACCAAGAAATATCCATGGACAATATTTCAAATTTGGGTGAAAATGAATGTCCTGTGATGAATGAACCGATGCTTGATGATGATGAATCAAATTATATAACTGACAATACAGAAACAATTAATTCAATTGTGCCTGAGGATCAACCACAAAACACGGTAATATTCTATTCATATTTAAATTTCATTATTTAATTAATAGTATAATATATTCAACTATAATAATAATAATAATAATAATAATAATAGTAACAATGAATACACAAAGTTATAGATGCTAAGCTCTTCCATCTCTAATCATAGCATCTTGCCATTCAACTCATCCTTCAGTATTAAAGAATTCTTTATAATTATATCTGTTTATTTTTGCTCTTACAGTAGCAGTTCTTGAATTAACTGGCTGTAAACCCACCAATTTCACTGCATTGTTTCTCCAATCCCCTTGGTGTTTTTCACAACCATCTGTATCCTCGCTATCAACTGTGGTTGGTGAAATGTATGCATTGCATCTTCTTCTTAAAACGTTATGTAAAACACATATGGCTAATAAAATATAAGATATATTTTTTGTCTTTATGTTGATAGGTATGCAAAATACGAAAATTTGAAGAAATAATCCCAAATGCATTTTCAACTACATTACGAGCTCTGGACAATCTGTAATTGAAAATCCTTTTTTCAGAATTCAAATTTTTTGGGCATACGGTTTTAAAAAATTTTCTTCCAAAGAAAATGCCTCATCACCAATAAACACATAGTTCATATTATTCACAGTTGCGTTAGTATCTGGCAAGTTTAATTTCTTAGCCAATAATTTTCTGCCAAATTCTGTATATTCAAAAACACCTCTATCAGATAATCTGCCATTTTTTCCAACATCAACATATATAAATTCATAATTAGAGTTGACTAAAGCCATTAAAACAATGCTATTAAAATTTTTGTAATTATAGTATGTTGATCCAGATTTTGGTGGTGGAACAATACGTATGTGTTTGCCATCCATCGATCCTCCACAATTAACAAAATAAATTGCCACCTATCTTGAAAATCTTTAGCCACTTGAAGCCATTCATCTTTTGTTGTAGGAAACTGTTGCCTCGGTGGGCTATTACGCTATACTGTATTTAGGTTGGTTATAATATAGTAATCGTTTTATTATAATATTATACGAATATATTATATGGTACATTAGTATACGACTAGTAAGGGGACTTGGCTAGGCAACTTCATCAACACGTTAGGCGCTCGAGATAGGCAACATTATTATATTAATATATTTTATTAATTTATATTCGTATAAGACTAGTGAGGGGACTTGACTAGGCAACTTCACCCACACGTTAGGTGCCCGAGATAGGCAACTTCACTCCCGTCATTGCCATCCGCAGGAATGATGGTGGAGATGAGTTGCGACCGACACACTAGAATACCAACACCTACAGGACGAACTACTGGAAACAGTTCATAGGACACGGGATGGCGAGAGGACGGAACAAGCTGGTTTGACACAATACCAGCACAACTTATGAACTAACTTAATAACTAAGGCAGGCAACGATGACACTTGTACCTGAATTCACGATGCTCTGGTCGACCTAGGCGGCCTCTCACACACCACCCGGTGCTGGCGGACTTATGCGTCGTGGCCGGAAACTGATAGGTCCGCGAATGCCCAATGATCACGTACCAGAAGGTGAGACACACAAGGTTGTCCACGAATACAAATATGTAGGTAGATAATAGAAGTCAAAAACTTACACGCTGTGTTTCTGAATGTATCGGTACGCTTTTATTGAATGACTCTGTTTGAGCCAATACCAAAATACACAGTAGAGTATAATATATTTTACAACATTAACAAATGGCGAATAAACAATATCACAATAATGAGCTCAAAACTCGACGCATTGCGAAACTGAGCACACATTATATATAAAAAAAATAAACAATATAAAATATAAAAAAATTACGTGAACAACAAAAAATTAGAGTATGGAATGATAATAATTGATAATGATAAATGTATGGTATTGGATTTTGAGTCGTGCCGGTCGTATTTTGTTTATCACCTTGGGATTATGATACGGTGGAGTGTCGATGTTATCGTCGTATTGTTTTTACGACAATACCGTATCTACGTTCCGATGCTGGTTACGTAATTATAATCCCACTCGTTAACATACCGGCCACCATTAAGCCCTTTATGGGTTTAATGAGCTCGATTCTTGGTTAGGCAGCAAACAAAGTTTATGCACTGGCCGTTTGACTTCACCAGTTTGAGTTTTAATCGTTGCTACTCTACTGAATCCATCGCTTCCTTTGTGAACGTCTACCACTCTTCCTCTTTACCAAGAAAGTGGAGTTTCGAAATCCTCTCGGATGAGAACGAGGTCTCCAATTTGTAAATTTTGTTTAGGCTTTTGCCATTTATTACGTATTTGTAAGGATTGCAAATATTCTGTTCGCCACCGTTGCCAGAATTTTTGTACGAGCTGCTGTATCCTTTACCATCTTACCTTGAAGGTTTTAATTGACGAATAACAGGGCTCTGGAATAGCTGTTAATGGTTTTCCGATAAGAAAATGTCCCGGGGTTAAAGCTTCTAGGTCGTTGGGGTCAGTAGAAGCTGCTATCAACGGCCGTGAATTAAAGAAAGCTTAAATTTGTAATGCTAGTAATGTTGTGGCTTCTCTTTGACTGAGTGTTGTTTCTCCCAAACTCCTGCGCAAATGAAATTTCATTGACTTCACTCCCACTTCCCATAAACCTCCCATATGTGGAGCATGAGGTGGAATAAATTACCAACTTATCCCTGAATGAGCTGCATATGATCTTAGGTGTTTTATTAAATCCGTTGATGCCAGGAATTTTTTCATCTGGGCAGCAGCTCCTACAAATTTCAGCCCGTTGTCTGAATAGATTTTTAATGGACTACCCCTTCCTACTACGAAACTCTTTAATGTAGCTAAAAACGCATCGGAAGTAAGATCGTCAACCCATTCCATATGAATTGCTTTGGTCGATGCAATAGCGTGCTCTTTTTTTCAATAGCACCATCCAATCATTTTTTATAAGTAAATTAAAAAAACCAAATGTTTAGAAGCAAATAACTTGTATTGTATATATGTTATTGAAAAAAAGAGCACGCTGTTGCACAGATAAAGTTCTTCTTTAAGTGCTGTGAAAATTTGGTAGTTCTACAACAATATGGTGCGAGAAAAGTTGTCCCTCGCAAAAGAGTTTTTGCTATGTTGTACATTTGTAAGACGGAGACAACACATGCGGGTGTGGCGTCCTCTTAATACAAAAATATACAATACAAAAAATAAAGAGAATTATGTGTGACTGTGTGTGTGTGTTTTGGTTTGCGTGCAATTGCTCTTCGGCCTCAACACCTACATTTATTGATATGTAATTATTAGGGCCCGGATTTATATGCATTCGCATGCTTTTTCTGAATAGTCCAAAAAATAGCTAGGTAAGCTACAAGTTTGATTTGTAATCAATAGATCCAAAATATAAAGTTTTATTTTGCATATTTTTGCATATTTTGTCCTTTTTTGACATGTACTGCATATTTCTGTATTTTACGATTTTTTTTTTTGCATATATACGGTTTTTATATGCATAATATGTAATATTTTGGTTATTTTTTTTTAAATAACGTAGATAATTTAATTTCTAATGGGAAAGACTTTACTTAAGAATATAATAACTAATTAAATTCTTAAGTAAAGTGAAGTTTGAATAATTTTATTGTAATTATGATGTTATTAAATAAATCTAAGCCATCTTAACAAATAACAGTTGACCTAACCCATATGGGGCATGGTTGAATATTTGATATTAGGTATTATATTTAGGTGTTATTACTAGATATAATAATAATAATAATAATACTATGATATTTTAGAAGGGGTGTGAAGTTGGGGGGGGGGACTATAGCTAGGTCTATAACTATTTTCTCGGACGACTAGTGATAACAGGCCTTGTATGCCCGGTTGCGTTTTATTATATTCAAGGCACCCGACATTTGTATTACCGTCAACCACAATATGGCGCCATGAAATTCACTTACATCATTATGTGCCCGTATATTAATGCGACCGACCGGCCCAGGGGACCATGTTTTCGTACTGCCGCGTGCAGGTACCCATGCGCCGTTTTTCATTTTTCCGACCAAGTTCCGGAAGGTGGCGACGCATCAAACCTATATATTCGGAAAGCCAGGAAAATTCTCTATAAGATGAAAATAAGTCTAGGAGCTACAAAGCTTTCGGGGACATAGTAAAATGCGACCGACCGGCCCAGGGGACCATGTTTTCGTACTGCCGCGTGCAGGTACCCATGCGCCGTTTTTCATTTTTTTTACTTATCTTTATTAATTATTATTATTATAAGCCACCATAATATAAATTGGCGGCTTCCAAAAATTGATTAAATGCGAATTGTAATAGGAGTAAGTACAATTTATGAAATTAATACTTACTCTCATATTATCGTGAGTTGTTTAAAACATGGTATGTTATATCTTTGAATGATTTACTTTTTGTTTGAGAGGAGTTTTTTTTTTTGTTATTTACATGAATTTTTAATGTTAATAGTATTGTTTTAATGATTTTGAAATGTTTTGTATGTATCTTGCTATTATATTATTTTAATTTTCCACGCTACATTGAAGAAGTTCGTTTTAAAATTTTAGTATAATAACTCAGAATATTCATCTATTGAGACTTTCCTCGTGTGAGCCATCTTGCCTTTTTAATTATCTTTAAATTTTCGGTTTTGAATAGGTAATTGTCTAGATAATAATGAAATAATCGACAGATGGCGCCCCTTGGTTCGCTTCAATAGCTTACACTATAATACTATAATATTTTGTACAATAAATTGTATTCCTTAAAATGGTTGCTAAGTGGATGTCACTCTGCTGGTCAATAGGCATTTATACATTTTTATCTAAAAAATAAATTAAAATTATAAATTTGACAAATTTGGTCAACATTTGAACTTTAAACGCTTATAACACAAAATTGTGTCAATGTATTTTTAATATTTTTAAAGTGCTATTGTTACAATATATCAGAAGCCATGACATTGTATTAAATGCTCAAGCATTTTGACCCAACAACTAACATTTTATTGACATTTCTAGAAAAAAAAGCAAGAAAATTGAATACTGATCCGTAGACAGTTCAAAATGTGTAAAAATATTTTATTAATCACATTTATTAAGTATATATTTTATCAAATAGGTATCACATAAAATGTTGCTTACTACTGATTTAATTTTATTCAGAATATTAATTAAATTACATAAACATACAACTATTAATTTTCTTGATAAACTGATACCTAGGCTACTACAAAAGTACAGCATAATTAAATAATTAAAAAAAAATACTATCCTATTGTAGCCTAAGTCAGATTTACTTAAATATTATATTAAAATAATTTAAAAGGAAATTTATAACCCATGATAAAGTAAATTTCTTTATCATGTCATAATCATTATATTACAATATTATAATTTTCAGTACATAATTACATTTTTGTTTCATTGTATTTTTGCTGTACCTAGGTACATATTAAGTTTTGATTGTAACAAATATTAAAAATGTATAATATTGTTATGTTGTAAATTAAATATTGTTCTTTTACATAAAGCTCTTTATAATAAAAGTGAGCAATTTATACCTAATTTGGATTTTTTAATAAATACATGTTATTATTACCAATAATATTTATTAATATAAACTTGAAAATTACAAATATTGACCTTTGAATTAGTATAAAAATACTAATTTTGGTTGTTGCAGCGCAACGATATATGTAAATTAGAATAATAGCTGGACACACACACACACACGGTCACGTATAATTGTTATCTTTGTATTGTTTTATTTTTGTATTAATTACCGTGTCTTGTGAATTATGTAATGTATAGAATTCAAATGCATTCAAAAACCGTATATATGCAAAAAAAAATCGTAAAATACAGAAATATGCAGTACATGTCAAAAAAGGACAAAATATGCAAAAATATGCAAAATAAAACTTTATATTTCGGATCTATTGATTACAAATCAAACTTGTAGCTTACCTAGCTATTTTTTGTACTATTCAGAAAAAACATGCGAATGCATATAAATCCGGGCCCTAGTTATAACTTATATTTGCAGTGTGTATCTTTAAAGTATCACATGAGTAACAAAATAAAAATGATTTAATCATTTTTTTTTTAGTTGATAGTGATAATGAAAATTCTTGGATTACCTGTGTTGGTCATTTAGAAGCCATCAAACAAGATTTTTCAGAATTGATTGATGAGTTGACAAGCATTAATAATTCTGAATTTCCAAATCCAATACTCTTTTTGATAAAAAGTTCACACAGTGTTACTAGTATCAAAAATAAATTGGATGACTATGTAACACTATCTAAAATTGTTTTAGATGATATGACAAATTCTTGCCATGATTCTGAACCCAAAAGTGGCAGTAACAATGCAATCGATGCATTTGTGGATCATGATCCGGGTAAGTGTGTTGCAATTCAAACTACATGTCAACGACAGTTTTTAATTTCTTTGGGACCATAACAACCAAAATTATCTTCTTACCCTAAAGATGCTAGTATATCTGCCTACAAGCAACAGCAGTTCACTTCTAAGTGGTATATTGAATATCCAATGCTTGAGTATAGTATTTACAATGATTCGGTGTACTTTTTTGTATGTACTTTATTTCCCCATCGATGTGGTCATAGTAAAACTGCATGGATAGTTGGTTGTGTAAGGCAGTGGCAAAAAATGAAAAGCCGTGGGAAGGATAAACAAGGAAAATTAGACCAACATTTTTCATCAGCTTCACATAAAGAAGCCATGTTAGATTATTGTGCTTTTACTATTAAATCTAATAAGATTGATGTTGTTTTCAATAAGCAGTTACGGCAATCTGCTATACGTGAGAAACAAGAACAAGCATTTAATAAATATGCAGTCAGGATTTTGATAGATTTAGCACGTACTTTAGCGAGACAAGGGCTTGCGTTCCGTAGTCATAATGAAGGTGCAAATGAATTACAAAATGGAAATTTTTATCAAATGGTTCATTTACTTTTCCGTCACAATGCAATATTAAAAAGATGGCTTAATGATAAATATATGCGTTCTCATCAAGTTACATATCTCAGTATGAAACCTCAAAATGAATTTATCGAACTCTCAGCTGAAGAAACACTTAAGAATATAGTTGAAGAAGTGTCAACATCTGATATATTTTCAGTTTTAGCTGATACCACACCAGACGTTTCACTTAAGGACCAATTATCTGTTTGTTTGAGATACGTCGACCAAGAAGGATCGACAAATGAACGATTACTGGAAAAAAACTGGAAATGTAGCATTTCAGTCATATGATTATGCCAATAGCATGAGTGGTGTTAACAAAGGAGCTCAACGTTGTTTTTCTGAGTTAGTTGGACATACAGTTCCATATATTCCATGTCAAGCACACAGGTTAAATACTTTTCTAGAACACGGCTGTAAGGCTAGTCATATAATTGGAAATTTTATTGACATTCTTGAAAACATTTATGTATTTTTCTCGGCAAGTACAAAAAGATCAAGTAATTTAATGGAACGTATGGAAAAAATCGAGGGAAGTCTGAAGCTCAGAAATTTATCCAAAACTGACAGCCAGAGCCGAAAGCATCAACGCAGTGTGGACATCTTTAGAAGCAATTGTTGACACATTAGAATATAGTAACAATTCAAATAGTTTTGATAATTTAACTAAAACAAAAGCTATTGGATTAAAAAAAAAATTTTAAATTTTGATTTTTTTGTTTCATTCATATTTATGAAGAACATAATGTATAAAGTTAAACATTTAACAGAATCTTTAGAGGCCAAAGAACTAAATGTGTGTGATGCAGCAGTTTTAATAAAAAGTACGATTTCATCATTGCAAAAAATTAGATCGGAAACAGAAAACATGAACAATTTGATAAACAGCGCTAAAATTACAGCTCAATCATTTGGAGTTGATTCAGAGACAGACTTTAATCATTATCACAGAAAGCGACCTAAGCGACTTGATGAAAATATTGACAATAGTGTTCTTTATGAGTTGTTAAATGTTTACAGACAACATTTTAATTTAGTTTTAGATACACTGATTAATTTAACAAGTTCAAATTTAAATGTTTTTGTTGAAACTATTCAACCCATATATAAAATATTAAGTGTTCCATTGAAAGTGAACACATCACAAGATTTCAGTGAAGCCTTTTCTCTTTTCCCACCTATGAGTGTTGGAGCCAAGCTCTTAGATTATGATACAGCTGCAGCAGAATGGGAAATACTGGGACACCTATGTGTTAATGAAAATTTAAAATGTTTAGATGTCCTTCAAAAATCGGAAGAAGTAAAACACATATTACCTTGGGCTATTTGGTTTTGCCGCCTTTCATTTACTTCTCCAGTTACAGCAGCTTCTAGTGAACGGACTTTTAGTAAGTTGAAACATATAAAACATAATTTACGTTCTACAATTACTTCAAACCGTCTTAGCTCGTTGATGATATTGAGTTGTGAAAAAGATATTGTCGATAAATTAGATATAGATTCTGTTGTCACAAAATGGTCTTTGCCAAACAAAGAAGAATACAATTACATAATTATATATAATTTATAATGTTTATAATTTAAATTATATTTAATAATTAATTGTTTACTTTTTTTTATACAATGTTTTCATAATTATTTTGATGTATGTATTGGCTAATATAATACTTTAACATTTAAGAAATATAGTACACTGTTTATAAACTTCACAGTTATCATTATTGGTTACCACCTTTGTTTTATTCCTATATAATAACAATAATAATTAATAAGATATACTTTACGTAGATTATATTATATATTTTAATAAGAAAGATATAATAATAAAATGAATACATAGATATTTAGATATTATTAAAGTATCAAAATATGCATTTAAAATAAAAACCATAAAATATGAAAAATAAAAATAATGTTTTTTGATTCAGTAAAATAAGAATCAAATTTGTTTCTAGGTCAGCATTAAAATGAATAAAAAATGCAATTTCATAACTATTTGATCCCTAATTATTACAATAGGAAAATGTAATTTTTATAATATTTAGTATACAGTCGTCAGATTTGTCCTTGAAAGTCGGCAAAATTCACCCCAAACCCCCCTAAATATAAACTCTAGGATTGCCCCTGGATCCGGCCCTGCGTGGCCCGTATAACATTTATTTGTTCTAAAATGATGAACATTTGTTGTATCCATCTTATTAACGCATAATATATTAAAACATACTTCCAATAGTCCCAATTTTGTGTTGTTAGCTTAAATTAATAGAGTAAATTAACCATTATAATTTAAATGTCAGAACATTATCTGTGTTCTTTTGTTGATTGTTAAAATTTTTGAATTTTTAAATATTGGTATTATTATAAATATTGGTATATTATGCGTTAGTAAAATGGATAAAACATAGCATAGACGATAGACCTATAAAGTAATTGCAACTCTATGCAACATAATAATGACGTGCTGGTAGGTATGTCGTTTTGATTTCCGTCGATAATAACAAGTCAGACTGTTACTATAAAAATCAAACGGCTTACGGGTCACCGTTTGTGTACAACACCATTATGCTTAGTTTTAGATACTATAAATAATACTATAATATATACTATTTACTATACACTATATAGTTTATATATTATATATACTATTTTATATAAATACTAGCTCTCCGAGCGTCGCTGGGGGATACCCCCAGACCGCCAGGTGTCGGTCATGAGTGTTTTCGATTTCGGAAGCTGCAGTGGTCTGTTGGTCTGGTCGTCAGTCTCGAGCTGGTAGGTGTGTGATAAGGAACTCTGATAAGGTTAGGACCACCGTGGTTCGACGTGGTAGCCCGGTAAGCAACAACGTTCGACAACAACGTTTTTTACTGCCGCCGGAAATTCAAAATTCCGTAAAAAAATAATAAATCGTCGTCGTATTTTTGTGGGTGTCTAGCAGGTCAGTCACCTCGAATGACGTTCGCCGTAGTAATAGTATTTAGGGTCTAGCAGATCAGTCACGTTCTTCGACTTTGGTCGTAGTCACCCTGGAAGGCAATCCGACAATACTCGACGGCTGGGGAACGTCATCACGTATGCAATCCGACTGCGTCGAATCGCGGACGACGTTCATTACTGTTACCGAAAAAGCAAAAAAGTAATAAATTACTTGAAAAGTATTTAAAAAATTTTGGACGTCCATGCAAATCATATAGCCGCCGTATTTTTTAGGGTGTCTAGCTGGTCAGTCACCTCCAATGACATTCGCTATAATAATAGGAGTAGGCCATCCGACTTGGATGGATAGCGAACAATGTGCGACGGCCGGGTCACGTCATCACGTATGCAATCGGATTGCGTCGAATCGCGGACGACGTTCATTACTGTTACCAAAAACGCAAAATTAAAGAATAAATTACGTGAAGAAAATTCAAAATATTTCGGTTGTCCATTCAAATCATATATAGCCACCGTTTGATTTTTTGGTGTCTAGCAGGTCAGTCATCTATGTTATCCGGGTAGACAATGTGCGGCCGGGACAGCGTCCATTGCAGTCACCGACAACGCAAAATTAAGTAATGAAATACGTGAAAAAAAATTGAAAACATTTCGTAAGCAGTCCGACCGTGACCGAGTCACCTTCCTCGACGTAATTACACGAAAATATGTTTTGGGGTCTAGCAGGATCTAGGGTCTAGCGTCAGATAGCGGACAACGTGTGACTTCTGACTCAAAATTAAGTAATAGGTCACGTGCAAAAAAATTGGTAAATGTTTTGGTGTCTAGCAGGTCAGTCACCTTGCTAACCTTGAAAACGCCAAATGACGTAAATCAAATGTATATAAATAATAACATTTCGGGCGCCCGTGCTAGTCCTAATATAGTCGCCGTGATTTGTTGAGTGTCTAGCAAGTCGGGCGGCCACGTTTAATAGTTTTTGTCGTTTATAGTAGGTAGTAGAGCGATTTAGAAGCGAAACTCGATAAGCTGATTGGGATTTTGTTTCCCCATGATCCTCCGAAAAACACAGAAACGTTTCCGTTAATCATATTTATATGACGAAAAAAAAATCGAACTTTTCGTCACATATTTTCATTTCCGTATATAGTAATAACGACACTGTCCGGTCTCCGATCTCATCCGCGGCACTCGACTCGAGCGAAGTACTGAGGCGGGTGGCTTATACATTTGGCGGGGAACGCGAATAAATAAGCCTTCGACGGTGAAACTCGAAAAAATCGTAAAATGTTCGTTATAATATGATAAGGCTGAAGTGAAATCGAAAGGTAATAATAAAGAAAAAAGTGAAAAAAAATTCCGGCGGCCGTGCTACCTATCTACCTACCTACTGAGTTCAGAACGCGATATTCGAGAAAAAAAAAAGGAACCTTCGACGCATGCATTTCGATGCCTGTATATAGTAACACCTACTCGGCGGTGGTCGAGTAAATGTAGAGGGGAACGCGAATAAGTCATCAACTGGGATTGCAGAAGTGTCGAAAAGGGCTAAAACTGGAATTTTAGAAAAAAAACGGCAAAAAACGACGCGACGCATATATTTAGCGTTACCTACTCTCGTTTCCGCGACGCCGCTCCTCCCCGGGACTCGTATGTGAAAAAGTAGGGCGCGGCGCTCTCGGCGATCGACTTGTCCGCCGGGGGACTCGTCGACGAAAAATTAGGGCCGCGCGCCGACTATAAATATAGCAGGGAACGCGAATAAGATCTAAACGGGGAGGGCGATACGCGCAAAAACGCCTAAAACTCGAATTTTCGAAAAAAAATGCAAAAACGCGCGCGACGGCGGCGCTCGTATCGCACACGACATCCGCCGCCACGGGCCCGCCGGGAAAAAAGTAGGGCCTCGCGCCGACTGAGTGTCTAGCTATCAGTCATCTCGGGTGAAAGTCGATTCCTGAGTGTCGGATGCAGTGGGGGTGTACCTCGCTTTGAAGTTGTTGCGCCTCAGTTCCGTAACCACTAACCTTTTTCCGTTGCACAGTCTGATTTTCGGATCGAGGTTCCGCAGCAGCATGACCACGGAACCGACCACCAGCGTCAACCTGTACGGTGGAAGTCCGTCGGGCTCCAGCGAGTTCAAAAACTCTGTCGGGTAATTGGAAATCTCGTCCACGTCGTCCGCCACCACCGTGTCTATAGCGGTGTAGGTTCTCGCGGCACCCGTGACGCGTTGCAGCACCGTGCGATTGACCTGTCTACAATCCTCGTTCCGGGGACAGAGAATAATTTTCCGAGCAAAGTCGTCGACGTTAGCCAACGACATTTGCTGCGGGTAAACAAAATCAATCAAATTAGCTATGTCACATACCATATTCCTGGGGATTTCGACGTTGTTCACATTTCCGTCGACCGCGGGCAGCTGGCCGTTGCCGAGTTGATGCAACCAGGCGGCAAAGTCCGCGTCGTTGTTGGCCCGCATGTTCTGCGTCAGGCTGAAACGCTCGAAGACGTCCCACAGATGGTGGTGCCTGATTGAAGCCGCCACGATCGCGGCCCTCGTCCCCCTGCGGACCACCGGCAGTATCTGTCTGAAGTCACCTGCGAATAGACGGTCTTACCACCGAACGGTAGTTCCGATTGCATTATGTCCTTTAGCAACCGGTCGACCACCGTCAGTTGGATCCCCGGAGACATGGGCGCTTCGTCCCAGACGATGAGTGCCGCCTCCCGTATCCTATGCGCGCGCAGAGACTGCATGGCGATGGACGACGTCGAATCTTCGTTGAGTGTACCGAAGGGCAAACCGAACGTCGAGTGAAAGGTCATACCACCGTCCATGAGCGTCGCCGCTATTCCCGTGAACGCCACAGACAACACGGATCTGCCCATGTTGCGGAGCGACCATATTAGGCAGCCGTAAAGAGTCGTTTTCCCAGTACACCCGGGCCCGTCGACGTATTTTCGGTACGTCGCGGTTGTCGTCGACGGCCGCCATTACGCGGTCGTAAACCGCCCGCTGTTCGTCGTTGAGGTTGTCCAACTGCAGAGTCCAACGCACCACTGCGTCGACGAAGTCGTAGACGTCTCCTCCCGCGTCCTCTTCGAGCAGCACGACGTCCGGATTCGGCAACCCATAGTCGGCCAGCGTTTTACCGTGACCCCGCAGCAGCCGCCCGAAGGCGTCCAGGCACGCTGCCCTCGCGCGGTCCTCGTCTCTCAGTCTGTGGAAGAAGTCTTGCCTCAGGTCTTCCTCGCTTGCCAGGTATATCGCCAGCGGATCCGCGGCCTTGCAGTTTAGCAGGATCGTCACCAGTAGGTAACGCAGCTGTGCGGGAGTGTCCACGGCCGCGGACTCTGTCATGCACGCCAGCAGGGCTTGGTCATCCTCCAGGAGTCCAAGCGCCACCGCCGCCACCGCGTAGGTCGGATACACGACCCCGTCGACGTTCCTCATGTCTCTGAACGACTGAGGCCCTCTCCTGTGCAGCAGCAGCAGTCGCAAGAGGAATCGCTCTCGATCTAGGGGGTTGACAGCGTACATCCGAGACAACGTCTCGTTGGCCATTGCCCTTCGGCGCCGATTCCACCTCCTGTCTCTTTCCACCCAGGTGTAATGCATCGGTATCTCAT